TTATTTTTAATATTATGATAATAAACAAACTAATTTAATGTCTCACAATAATAAATTTACAACTTCTAGGGTATATACTATTGTGGCTAAAAATGTCTAAATAATGAAATGATAACTCCTGTTACTTCGTTTATATATACTTGTTTCAATCGGGCTATTGCCATGTGGTTTTAAACGTCTCTGACCTCCGTTTAAACTTTAAATTGAGCCGTTCCGTAATAGGATGGCCAGGATGGGTATTAACTTGTCGGTAGGTACCTATAGTCTGTAGACGGTTAAAGGCATAATGTCACATTGATTGAACATAATTGACAATATAATTATCAAATAAGTACATTTGGAAATCCTTCTAAAGTCATTTTCAAACGTCCAAAATGTCACTATAGATAGGTAACAAATTCGATGTTACTTACTGCACATTAAATGCTTATTGTTTAATTCCAACGACGACGTTATCAAATATTGATAGTTTATTACTTGGTAGGTAGTTGATTCTATACATCGAAGTTTATTTTCAGAAGCATATCCCTGTAGTTTTTTTTATCACATTTGATTCTGAGCGGAGTTGTTTTAAAATGGTTTTCTTTTGTGTTTTTATTAAACTTTCGTAATAGTAAATGTGCTTCGATCTTAATTTTTCAGGGTTGGTTCTGGTAGAAAATTGGGCGTAAGAACTTAGTTTGACAAAATTGGAGGTACACGTTAGACCAGCCCATTACGAAAACCATACTTTTCTTTGCAAAAATTGGATATTTAAATGTAAAATCACAATTTTAGATATTCTGTTGTAATTTAAAAAAAATATTTATCCTCGGGACTACGCACATTATTTTTAACATTGGGCATATGCATATTAGTATTTACTGTACCTATGATGCACAATGAAATTTTCTAACTATTAAGATTATTTTAAGCTATTTACTATGCATTTATGCATACCGTCTACGGTACGTCGGTATTTACTTATATGTTACTTATATATATAATATATAGTAGCAGCTAAGAATATTATATGAAAAAATACATGCGATTTTTTATGGTAAAATCTTCCGTAGTAAAGTATTACTAATAAAAAACTAAATTACTGATAACAATATAATATTTACCGTCTCCACTCAGAATTTTCGTATAATAGGTGCAATAATTTATCATTAAATGTTTATTTTATTTATCTCCATTCTTCATTATTCATTAAATTGTAACTATAATATTATATGAAATTAAATATTAATATTAAATTCTCGAATACTTACTCTCGTTTCATATAAAATATTTTTTTTTTGATTTCATCAGCAATTTTTTTTTTTAGTAACCCGCGGCAACTTAGGCCATTGGGTGGATTTCTTTACTGTGAGAGGAGGATATTGAAGGTCAACATTCGTGTTTGATAGTTTGGCAGATTTTCGTAGGTATCGGCCAATTGCCATGCCCGGGTGGGGGATGGTGGCACTTGTTATCACCATGACTTGCACGAAGAAAAATGCTGCCCGCGACCGAGGTTTCGAACCGGCGCCGGTGCGCGTCGCAACCGACGCTTTAGTTCGCTCGGCCACTCCACCCCCCTCAGTAAATTGTTTATTACCAATCAAACATTTTGAACATTGAATAACACTTATAAATTTAAATTTTAAACATGTTACACTCCTATTATATGGTGATTTCATAAATTAACTTTTCAATCACTTCGATCCTTCTGCCTTCAATGTTATGACGGCGTCCACGACTCGTTCCATGTGTATCGAAGTCAGGAATGACTTTTTTTTGTTGGTGCAAAAATGTTTGCAGGCCATTCAAATCATTACCAGACCACATAGAAATTTTTGAGGGGGGGGGGTAAAGTGGGGACAAAAACTGTAGAATATATGTTGTATAATTTATTTAATATTTCACTTATATTAGTATGAGAATATCACAATATTGTTACTATTTTTGACGAACTATGTTAGGCACCTACTTTTAATATATTTATTGTATATTGTGGATACCAGTGTGCAGTGGTATTTACACTTGGTAAATAAATGTATATGTATAAAAGTATAAAACACCTTTATAACAAAATACCTAGCCGAACCTAACCTATACATTTTTTCTCCCTGAATACTCAAAATATATAATAAAGAAATATATTTTATGGGTACACTTCTTCACAATGTTTGTGTTATAAATTATAATTACACTTCAGTATAAAGTCACTTATAATTAATAATTATTGCAAAGAAGGTGTTTTAAAAAAAAGTTGATGCAAATGCATACCCTGTCCCCCCAAATGATACTCCTGATCCAAGTTAGGTAGTGTTAAGTTAAGTAAGATTGGATATAGTCTTAAAGCTAGTGGTCAGTTATTGAATATAGAATTAATTATATGTTAACTGTAGATGATCATTTCAATACTAGATATCTAACTGTAACTCATATTGTAAGTCACTTAACATATTATAAGAAATATTTTCATGTTTTATTGATCTATATTCTATTTGAATAAAACGACTTTGGTCACACTGTCGTCTGTCACAGAAATAAAAAAAAATATTTAAAAATATTTCATTCAAAGAATCAACAAATAATAATTATTGTTTGTTGGTAATTTGGTATAATGAGTCCACAAACGATTTGCTGCTTTTACTAACTAGACCAACTTACTAATTTAATTTTCTTATTATACAAGCCAAACATTTATTTTCTCGAGGGGGTAATTTTTCCAGCGCTAAGCCCTCTGAGACCACACTTAATTGCGCTAATAGGGTGTAGGCGCGTACAATGTACCTATACATGTCATGCATAATTTATATATATATATACCTGCTGTAGATATAATGCGATATCGTACACATGGTGGTTTTATATTCTCATTATTATTTTGCGCATGGACGGTAGCTTTTATCGTATAGGTACACACTACACTGACATGATACACAATAATATAATAACGCGTCTATGTTTGTAAAAGGTGTGATACCTCGTATAGTTTTACATAGGTATAGTGGTTTTTTTTTCTCATAGGTAACTGTCACCGAACGAAAAATGTTTTATACGTCTCGACTTTCGGTGAAAAATAAACACATGAAATTCATATTCATTATGGCCGACCTATTTGAAATGGAATCCTTTATAATTTCTGAAAATGGATCCGGGTGTGTTTATTTTTTGAAACGTAAAATCACATATTATAGTTACTATTAGTTTGCTCCAGATAAACAAACATAATAAGGGCAGTCCATGGATCAATAAGTTAAATAACGATTAATATAATTATAAAAAGGAAATGCAATGAGTAGGTAGGTATGACTAGTATATATGGTAGGTAGGTAGTAGATACGAACATCGAGGACTTGCCCTGTGATTATACTTTTGAAATGCATTGATTGTTTTACTACACATCGGATAGCTATAATTATTAATATAAGTACTTAAATTATATTATATTAATAAGAATATTATTTTAAACATTTTTTTTTACATTTTTATATTACTTATGCAATTTAGAGAAAATTCGAGTACCTACCTACGTCAAACATCAATACAACCGAAATAGTGCCTATAATTTAGTTTATTATGGAACATGAAAAAAATATACATTTTAGAAAATTGTAAATATTAATATTATTTATAAGATTTTTAAAAGTTCAAACTATTGCTTAAACTTTTTTTTATCAAACATAACACTCATTATTTTCTGTGTATTGATGTAAAATTGTAGAACTCTTTAAAAATATCTAGAGCCGCTATAAAAGACCAATATTACCTAAAATAATATAGGGAGCTTAGCGAAACTTAGTCACCCAAATTCAAAAGTACTGAGTACTAAGCGTCTAAGCATACATAATTCTTAGGAAATATTATGGTGGATGAGGGGGGGAGTTTTAGTCGACCTAATTTTTTTTGGATATTAGAGCCTAATTCAGGGCTTGCATTTGAAAAAAAAATCCATTTTATGTTATTCACAATATTAAAACGTTACACAATTTTTCGTTATTTAGAATTAAAGCGTTATTCAACTTTTCAGTTTATCATTATTCAGAATGAAAACGTTATCCAAGTTTGGCGGTTATCGTTATTTAAAATAGTGTTAATACCAATATTAAATTGAAAAATAATAACTAATGAGGGTAGACAATGGCCCGGATACTGAATAGTGAATAGTGAATATAATATAATCATATTCTTAGATTATTTGCATGAAATAAATGTTTCTACGAAACCAATAGACCTTTTATGAATTTTAAATTATTTCGTATTGCATTATTTTTCGTTCAATGATATTCTATAAATTACGTTTTGCGTTATGTTTTGTTTAATGATATATAATATATTTTGTTAATCGTTATGTTTTGTTTTTGCAGAATTTATTTATTTTTGATTATAGCTTTCAGTTATAATCATGCTTACAAATTTCAATTGTTTTTTGAGAAATATAACGTTATAAATATTAAATACTTATAATCGTGATATAATCTTATACAAGTTATTATAAAGTTTGCAAGCCCTGGCGCCTATGATAACACTTATAGGTGCTTACAATAAACACTTAATATGATGATTACTCTTACTCTATTTATATACATCATACATGTGATCTTAAAAACATGCAGACAATTGTATTTCATTTTAAAGTTATAGGTTTAAAATTTCAAAGGCCTTGTATAAAGGTGTAAAGTAAAATTATATTACTTCTTAATAAAATTGTCACACTGGTTAAGTTAAATAATATATTTCCCAACAAAACATTACCAAATTAATATAATTATTGTAAGCCTATTATGTAAATTGCATGGTGCTTATAGTAATATAGAATATAAAATTATTTTAACATATTCAGTTTTAAACATTTATAAGTTACAACACATCGATATGAACATTTATCAAATATTTTTTTCAATGTTCACTGTCAAATATAATAAGATTTATGAAAAAGAGGCAATGAGTACCTAGTCTTAAGTATGTATGTACAATGAAAATCTAATAAAATACGTGTATACGTTTATAGTATACGATAAATTGTATTAGAATACAAATAATTCAAAACGACGTTTTTCGCTCCCTAATTTGTTTTTAACAATACAAGTGTATGTTCCATTATGTATCCAGTCGATATTATGAATTTTTAGTACCTGTTTATATTCCAGGTATTCGCTGCCATGCAAGGTCCAGGGAGTTATCGGGAATGCGGAATCAAGTTTTCTCCAGTACACCTAAAAACACAACATTTTATTTTTAAAACTTAAATAGGTATATTACCTAGGTTAGGTTGGGTAGCACGTTCTTATTAGTTATTTTGTATATATAGGTAGGTATATACCACAATATATACCTACATATTATATTATACCTACTTATTTTATATAAATATATAATTTATATATATAATAATATTAGTGGCGTAATTAGGAATTTGTCCTGAGGGGTGGGGGGATAGATATTTATTTACCATGTGCACATCTATTTATAGATTTCTTTATATTCATTATATTAATAAACTAATTCTATTTAAATATATTTTGTCGTGATGTCAGCACATAACCCCACAAGCTACAAAATGAATAACTAAGTATATAATATTATATATATTATAAAGGCTCTGGGGGATCTATCTCTCGCATCCTACTTCAATTACACCCCTGATACATATATTTTATATACTAATAATAACACTATTAATATTTATCTTTTTAAACAGCATAAAATTCTTTGCTAGAATACTAAATAACTTAATTGAGATTTGAGGTGATGTTAGTGAACAGTTTCCCCACTCACTCAAGTGTATATATAATTATATATTTTTTCATATTCTAAAATTTACTTATTACACCTGTTTGCATGGATTGCAATTTGTAAATATTTTTAATATTTATAATAATAAAAAACAATTAACTTGATTACATATTATAATACTTACCTATAGTTATTATACATTTACATTAGCCTCAATAGTCAACATATACACATATATATATATATATATGTATATATGTTTATTGTATAGTGTATACAATAAACATGTATCTATGTTTCTAATTAGTATCTATTTACTATTATGAGTCATTTGCATCCCTGATAATAACAATAATAATAGTATAGTGATGCTTACTCTTGGTTTTGGAAATCCTTTTGCTCTGCAGTCAAACACAACCGTTTCATTTTTGCTAATCATCATTGTCTCGGGCTGGTATTTAATGAATGAAGGAGAGAACCCGATTCGTAAGTGAAATGTATACGTTTCATTGGAGTTCATACACGTGTATACGCCACCATCTAAATCATCCAGTTCGTAGATTTTTAATGAACTATTTATTTGTTTGAAATGTTGTTCATCTGCTCTTTTGTAAACTAAGTCATTGATATTTACACCGTCCTATAATTTAACACACAATCAAAAAAATTGTAAATAATATTAAATGTATTTTAACAACAATCACTAATGATGACATGACCAATTTTTTTGGATTGTATATACAATTTAAATAGTCAAATGATAGTGGTGCCTAGTGGTAATTTATTATTTTAATGATTTTTTATTTTGTTATTATTACTTATGTGAGTTTCTTCATTTTAATGACTTCTAATGTTAATATCTACATTTACATTATACTCATGTCTCATATGACCAGTGACAGTCAAACCGGGTGTGGGAGTGATAGATCTCTCAATACCTTTGTTTCAATATTCATCATAACTTATATTATATACCTAGGTATGAAACGGTAATAATTATAAATTATATTTTTATGATTAAATAGTATATTATGTTAAAAATCAGCCGAATATTCCATGAAAAAAATAATTTGACCGCCACTGACATACCTACCTATAGTTTTAATTTTTTTAAATAATTTAAAAAATATAATATTTGTATTATTATCCAATTTAGTACTATAATTTATATTTCGATGATAAAGGAAGTGATCGAATATAATAATATGAATATCGGCAACAATACATAGCCACATAGGCAGCCGTGTATTAGAATAAATTCATGTTTTCACAAAACTGCCTTGAGAAGTTGTTATTTCTAAGTTCTAAGGTAAAAGTATCTATATATGATTGCATTTTTATGTGATTAACAAATAAGCAATAATAATACCTATAATTTATTTAAATTAAACAATTTATATTTTTAAGCAACAGGACTATTATTTTACGTTCTTCCATTAGAATCATTAGATTATAACATATAAGACACATTTCCTTACATAGAATTCAATGTTTAATTTATATAATTTATAATGAGTAGACAATGTCATTCCTCAGAGTTTTTTTTTATTAATTAAATCTTTCTCACCTTTAACCATTTATGGTTCATGTTCTTTAACGGGCAATTCAGAAGAACGTCATCGAGTTCGTTTATAACCAAAGATTCGTTTGCTATCTTCGGGAAAGGCGTTTCACCTATAATTCAGTTTAAATCCATAACATTTTAGTACTTATAGATTTTCAAGAGCGTGTACGAAAATATGATGTAAAAACTTAGTAAAAATAATATCACCTTGAACAACGGTTTTAAAGTGTTTCTCAACTGTCCCGGCCTCGTTTGTAGCTCTGCATGTGTACACGTTTGAATCGCCCAATGGAGTATCAAATATAATCAACCTCCGGAAGTCATTTACGACTAAAATATGGTCTATGAAAAATTAATATGTCATCAGAAATGGTGTTTTGTATCAATTTCAAAAAAACCTATCAATCAATACAAATATTATTAAATTGCATTGTACTTGCCGCTGTAAGAAGAAACAGGAGATCCATTCATAAGCCAAATCATTAGGGGGGAGGGTACTCCTTGACCCGTACACTTAAACGCATAATCTCCACCTTCTGGTAATACCACGGTTACATTATCGCTCCCCTCGGCAAACGTTGGTTTGGCTAAGAGAAAGAAAAAATAACGCATATTGGCATATTATATATTTATATAACATAATATACATTACTATATTAGATTAACAAGTAAGTAACGCAATTTTTTACTAATCTATACAAAATTAATTGTATTTGTTTGCGTATTAAAACCTAAATAAACACGAGCCAACATGCAGAGATATAATGATTAAAGTGTAGTTAGATTACTCGAAAAGTATAGTTGGTTCAAGTAAATGGGTTTATTTATAAATACGTTTTATGTCGCCAACAGTAAAGAAATCCATTAATTTTATATACATTTAAAATTATATAAGGTGAAATGGGGTAATTATAAGTTAGAAAAAATGTTTAAAACCATTCATACAAAATATATGGCTATCATTGATAAATCGTTTTATTTAATAACATGAACGTGTAAATGGACTTTGTGATGAAACAGATAGAAAAAAATGGTGAAGTTATGATTTATGAAATCTGTAATCTCAAAAGTGATAGCATGGTCTATTTTTCTTAAATTTCGGACATTTTACCATCAACATGCAGCTATATAATATATTCCAAAATATTTTAAGTATAATGTTGAAATTTGTTTAGTAATATTCGTTATTGTGTAGGTATATGCGCTCTCGGATAATAATGTTGTTCGATCCATCGAATTCTGTGAGAACATTAACATTTTATCTTGACAAATTTATTTATCGAGAGGTCCCCTTTTTCAGTTTCGGTTAAAAAAATAATCACTAGTCTTCTGAATTTATTATTCAAAAAACTTACTAAATAGTTAATGGAGCATAAACAACTTCTATCATTATGTTTACATAATTAATTTACAATTGTCCCACTTCACCCCACTGTCATTTGTCAAAACTGAGTTATTGAAATAAAAACCTAGATTCCAGGAATAATAATTATTCATAATTTACATAACAATAATATATGGACTCCGTTATTAAATTATATCGTTATATTATAAACATACGTGATACGTAATAGTGTATACCAAAACAACAATACACTTTGTGGATAACTTATTGTGAAAAATGTATTATGCATGTAAGTTATGACCGAGCAGATACTTAAAATTGTTTATTCATTTCTAATGCATACGAACTGTTTAGTACTATAATATTCATATAATTAATAGATAAAGAATAAAGATCGTATACGATAATAGTTTAGTTATTGTTAAGTTGTACGTTTAATTGCATTTGATTGAGTAGGTACCAATTCATTTTGTTGTTCTGAGATGAGTCAAAGTCGGTTGTTTAAAATATTATGTTCCTACCATATACTTTGAGATCAGGATGTTTTTTTTTTTTATTATTAAGGTAGACATTGTCGTTATTAAGTATTGAAATTTGAAACAAATAACATAAAACATTAATATGTTAACTATAGGTGCATCATAAACATGCTTAGAACAATTTCACAAATCTAGAGATCAGATGATAGAATAATCTTTCGTAAGTAATCCCACCATTCTAAAAAAACAATTATAAAAATTAGTTTTGACTTCATTTAAATTCTAATGTCCGGTCGTTGCCTGTGAGTGTAATTGTAAACATTTAATGAAGTATGATTAGTATGAAGCTTGTAATATCATATGATATTTTATATTGTTTGAACATAATATTTAAATAAGTATATAGTATAATATTATATGCATTTCAGTTTTTCTATTTGCCAGTTTAAATTCAATGCCTTGTTGGATTATTATTTGTACTGAATTTAACAATTATAGAAAACAACTATCACAATGCATAATATAAAAAATTAATATACACAGTATAATAAAAGTAAATAATACCTATTTATATTTTCAGATTTTTATAAAATTGAACTAAACTAAATATTATATATTCAATTTTATAACACAACATTATATTGTTTACTAAGTAAAATAGTTAGCATTATTTAAACTAATGGTGTACAAACTACCTATAACTTAGGTACCTAAATATTATTATTATTATTATTATTATTAAATCTTTAATATGTTGGAACCTATAGGTACCCTCATTTACTATAATATCCATAAAGCGTAATTCTACAATCTTTGCTTTGCAAGATACTGCTGATATGTTTATAATAATACGTCATTTTTGTATTATTGTATTACATATGTAAATAATCACATATAATATAGGTACCGATTATATATATATTAATAATTATGGTTCACTTTACATATTATGGTGACGTTAGTTGTTGATTCGGAATAGCCAGCGATATTTTTTGCACCACATGTGAAAATACCCTCATGTTGGAATGTTACGTTGCGTACGACCAATTCGATTTCTGAACTTTGGCTGAAATAAATTTATAATTTTTTTTTTTTTATAAATAAATTGATATTATAATTTATAACAAATACCTAAAGTTCCAAGTTTGTTTGGGGTAATTTTGCGACTCCCAGGTAACTGTAAACGGGACCAATGACTCGACAAGACAATTGACGTGCAATTCACCACCAACTACTCCGACCGCTTTTGTTGATGTAGTTATGTAAGGTGCATCTATTTATAATATGTATATAATATTATATTGTATACGTATGGTATTAAGATATGCATGCATGATTCATATTATAATATAACTCTAACTTACCAGGTTCGTTTGGAATAATGCTAGTTTTAGTAATGCGCTTGAAGTAATTACCATTGTTGTTCATACCAAATACCTGAATTAAACGACAGAACAATAATAGTTTTAGTGTGTTTAAACTTTAAACATTATTTTCAAATAATATTTTTGTAGAATTAAATAGGCATGGGTCTTATTAATGACGATAGTATTTAATAGTAATTAAGCACTCTAACGAGCAAAAAATTTTAATATTATAAGTATTATTAATATTTTTGTCATGTATAGGAGGCATAACACATGCAACATCATTAAAATAAGTAATGAATTGTAAATGTTTTAATAATGACCATTTTAATAGAAATAGTAATTTATATGCTCCTTGATATAGTATGTTAAACAACAAACCTATTCCCCTATTTTTTATTTGATTGTCGACGTTCTTAAGGATTTATAGAAGTTACAGAAGTATAGACAAACGTTATTTCATAATGACGTACCTTAATACCTACCAATAAGAATTTTTATTCACTTAGTGTAGTACGAATTTTTGTACTTTTTAAATCAGATGTCTTAACATTTATATGATAAACATCAAGTCCAAATTTGAAAAATATATAGAAGTCGTTCTCCATAACAAAACAAAGGGAATTCCATTCGGTATTACTGAATTCAAATCGATTTTGAGACGTATCAGTACATCGGAATGAAAAAAAGCCATTTAGCCCGAAAAAGCAACGTTTGAAATCCCTTGAACTTTACTACTGTTATAGATTGGTGCATATTAAAAAATTTTCCTTTTTGTTAAACATTTTAAAGTTCCCGATTTTAATTTACGACGTAATTGTATTTGATGTATACAAATTAAAACTGAATGAGACACAATAGTTAAAGAAGCTACTGAGGAGTTTGAAAACAATGATGAATCATTTTAATTGAAACAAGAAAAAAACGATTTCGACTGAAGCTTGATTTACTCGAAAATGACGAAAATAGTCTATAAATGGGAGTTTAATGAAATTTTTATAGAACTATAATGGACATACCAAAATAATAAGTTATGACTTTTCTTAAAATTTACTAATAAACTTCGTTTAATGTGTAATAACTATATGTTTTAAATTTTAAATGTAGATAATATATTATAAGGTGTTCTTATTTTTTCTTTTAAACATTTTTTAACAGTGTGTTAAACCATGAGTTATGGTTAGGCAACATAAATGTATTTGAAATATTACTAAATTACTTTTAGAAAATAAAACGATAACATAAATAAATTTAGGTCATCATTAGATTAAACTACATGTACCAACATTATAATATTTTCGGATAAAAATCACTGTAGTATACTAGACGAAAGTTAAATATTCGTACTGAATATCATGATAAAATAGAAACTTAGGTATCATCACAGTTGTAATAGTTTTTTTCAGAAGGTATTCGCATCTCACTCACCTCCAGCCAATGTCGTAGTTCTCCACTACAGATTGGTCGATTTTTTTCTATATTTTAATTAAATGTATTTGATTGACAGACAATCGGAAGTGGAGAAATACGATATATGTGAAGTAAAGGAAGCGTATCAATACACTGTGATGATACCTATCTATTTCGTTATGATGAATATGATATAATAAAATACATATTTATAAAAATAAATTAAATGTAAATGTTGATTTTAGATGTTCGTATCTAATGCAAATGTTTGTATAGAATTTAGAATATTTTAAAGTTATGATTAACAAAACTGTTAGGTACGTAGTAAAAAATATATCGAACAATTTAATCCATATAATATGTGTATAAACTTGGTCATGCATTGGTGTAAACGAGTATTAAAATGTAATAATGACAATTGACCAAATATTATATGGACTTATAATATATTTTAAATGTCTTTTATTATCAATAGAAAATATCGAAGAAAAATATGTGATTAATAATAATTATCTTCTACTTCAATATCCATGCACAATGCACATAGTGCATATTATTATGATAACTTGTTTTCTAAAAATAAACTGAATAATTGTATTTGTCATATTTGAAAAAAAATATTGTTTGTTTTTCATTTAATTCGAATATTCCCTGAATATGATTTAATGAATATAGCTAGCAATTAAGATTTTAATAATATATAACATCATTATTCCTTATTAGCACTTCATAAAACCAACTAAATAATAATAATAATTAATAACTATTGAATTTAAAATGATTTTATTAACGATCTTAAAATAATTTAAATTATAAATTTAAAAATTATTTATTTAGTTTTTTGTAACAACATAGTTATGTACGAGATAAAAAAAATGTTCCTGTTAATATAATCTTCAATTTAGTGATAGTAAAATGGTAGGTATTTTAAATTTGTTATAAAAAATTGATGAAGATGAATCTACTATTTAAATTTTTATTTGATGTACACAACAAAAATTAATGTTTATTGAATACCTGACGAGATAATAATTTGAAGGCAATAGGGTTCAATTATGTGAATTTTTAAAAAAAAAAAAGTATATTCGGGGAAATATACAACGAGACAACCGTAAAAGTTTATTTATATTAAATATGATGTTTATTAATTAATGGTATGCCATCCTATCTAACTGAAATGCGAATACAAATATTAATATCATGCAAACAAGTTTATTCAGAATGCAGTGGATTACATGCAGGTATCGTATGTTTAAACTTCAAATAACTACGTTAAGTTAAATAACTAGTTATTAGTAATTTGAACTATTTTTTACTCGTAATATTATTAAACAATAAACAATAAATAAACGTATTGAACATTTGAATACATAATATTAGTTAACATCGTACTGGACGGTGCACCAACGACTAATCAATAATTACCAGATAAATAGTACCTACTTAGATTACATTATGAGTTCTAATAATTATTATTTTATCGCCCTAGGTATTCAACATAATAATGAAACACGTATATTTACCTGTACGTAAAAAGGATTGTCTTTAGGTATGAATGGACCACATAACAACAAATTTTTTCCAAAATCTAAAACTGGCAGCGCCACTGTAGTACCGTCACTGCTTAAATCTTGAATTTTACAAGAAACGAATTTCTTAACGTCTGGACAGTTTACTAATATATAGTTTTTGGCACCTAAAATACATAATTTCTATTGTTATTTATAATACAAAATTACGTTTTATAGAGAAAAATGTGGTGCTAATGTTTGCATAATATTTTAATTTAACTATATACCTAAGTGAAATATATAGGTAAATAATACATGGTACATTTAAAAATGTTATGATCAGATTAAACGATATGTTGGGATGTATACTCGACGATGATTTTTATCATATTATAATGTGCGCTCAAAATTCTAATAATTTAAAAATGAACTTCCAAAATGTACTAGATATAGGTATTATACAATTATTAATACAAATTTATTCTGTAATGCTACTTTTAATATTTTTGCTATTTTTGTTTTAGAATTTATGTTTTTACTCTAAACAACGAAATAGTCATAGTTTAAAATCAAAAGGTGGATTTCCATTGTATATTTTGTGTATATACCAACACTGCAGTCTGCAGGTAGGTACGAGTAAGCTTATCGATTATTTTAAAAACGAACCTACCAACTCGTTAGTGAGTAAGTACGTCATTTATAAACATCGCCACTGAAATTAATACCTACCTACAAAAACTATATTTAAATGAATAATGCCATATTCTACGTTATAACTTATAACTTATGTGCGTATGTGTCATGAGTGTATTTGATCGTACTTTCTAGTATTCTATTTAGTTGATGTTTCAGTAAGTTTGGATGAACAAATACCTTTAAGTGGTCTGTGGCTAGTTTGCGTCATATTTTTTGGTACTGAAGTAGCAAAGCCGAAGTCAAAATTCTTTGTGCTGATTCCGCAAGCACGAATCGTATGTGCAGATTCACTAGTAATGTATAAAGTCCATTCGCCGGGTATGGGTTCCTTAGAAATACAAAATACTCATTAACCGTTAAGTACTTAATATTTAACATTTATATATTAATATTTAATATACACCTACTACATAAATTATTTAAAAATAGTATAATAAACAGCTAGGGCTGGAGGTATTTCAAATTTTGATACCGGTATCCGGTATTTGTTTACTACCAGTATCTACGGTATTACCCGTTGTAAGATATTTTCGGTAATTATCGAAAATACCGGACCTCGGTAATTATCAAAAATACTATAATCTCAGCAAATTTATTAGTGTTTCCAACCTAGGATAAAGCTATTATATTGCATCATTACGGTTATATAAAAATAATAAATAATAAATATTTACGCAGCTAGTTGGGCACTTTTTTAATTACAGTAATTCAATTACTTGAGTAATTTGTAATTGGTAATTGATTATAAAAATGTTGATGTAATAGGTATGTAATCTAATCGATCATTAAATGTTGATCTAATTTGTAATTGGTATAATGAATTACATAATACACAGTGTACTGAGTGTCATAGACGTGTGCAGACCTCGATTTCCGGTCGGTTATATGTATAAATATAATCAAGTTGCATGTGCTCGACCGACTCGCCCTCTTGGGCACGCCTATGCTGAGTGTATATATATAACTTATTTAGCACAAGTTTTATCGAACATTCGACACAGACAATAAAAGATAATTGTATGATAACATTACTACAAATAGACATGTAGACAGATATAGCGCATTTATATTAAGTGTCTTAATTGTCCATATATATTATGGTATTTTCGGTATAGTTACCATGGTACGGTATATTTTCGATAATAACTGTAATTACCGATTCACGGTATACCGGTATTCTAAAATACCGTCAGCCCCATAATAACCAACATAACCGGTAAAAAAATAATGTATCTCCAATACAACGTTCATTAAAATGTAAATAAATATATCTAACAAAATAGTTATCGTTAAACTATTCAAAAACTTACCAGAATGTTGACGATTTTGACATTTTTCAAGTCTAAATCAGTGATCAACCCATGGGCTTCATCCATTTTCTTGCCTACGGGATTCACCACGTCAATGGTAGAATTGAGTCCCGAGACGGAGACCTGGAGACTCTTTATGCTTTCGTCGATATTCAGCCTTTTCGGAAATGGTGTCAATTGTTTTTGTGGGATATTGATAGACATCAAATTTACTCGGTTTGTGTCCATTGACGTTTTTACAAATTGCAGTACTTTTGATACATCTTCCTTGTTAACATCAAACACGTTACCTGATCCTAATGATGCAATATTTTCATAACTCTTATCCGTCGATATGCAATCGTGCACTGTTCTTAAGACGACCACCTGAGAACATTTGTTTTGTAGCATACCCTCAAATAATAAGTGTGTTGTGGTTTATTTAATTATTTTTTGATTCATTGCGAATAAAACATAGACTTATTAAAAACACATATCATTATTGCCGTTATTTTGTTATAGAAAGCTCTTTAAAGTATAAAAATGTACTAAAAATGATTATCTATGAAACACAAATGCACAATTAAACAACTCCAAAGTTATTTATCATGGACTAATAGACAATCAGATTTAGCATACATATAAAATTTGTTTTAATTTATGTACATTCAAAGTTATTTATTACATAAAAAAAAACAATTCACAATTTGTAGTTCATAGTTATTTAGTGTAGTTAATTTAAGTATACATTTTATCAGATATTATTTTAGTTTCTATATCAATATAATATAATATTCAAACGCTATATACTATGAAGTGTAAGTAATCTTACAGAGAAGTAGGTATATTGATTTTTATCCTAAAACTTTTCGAATTTTTATAACAATATAAAGTTTTCAGATATTAGTATCAGATATCAGATATTAGTTTTAAGACATTTTCATTTGAATGGTTATGTATGTGAATAGACGAAAATTCAAAATATGAGCTTGAAAAATTCCTTATGAACACAATAAATAGCACTTCTACATTCTTTTGGGTATAAAATGTGGCGTAAATTTAGAAAAAAGGGAATAATTACAAATTTTTGTTATTTTGAAAAATTTGGTCAAAATATGAACTTCAAATGCTTATAAGAAAATTGTCGATATTTATGTAGTTGTCTATAGACTAATCATCTATATACTAATTAGATCTAATTTTTTTACCAAAAAAAAACCAGAGTTTAAAATTGTAGCTTTTTTACGGCTTCCAATAGGTACCGTTAGCAATGACGCCAAAAATCCACTCAGAATCCAAAATTAATAAAAATTTAAAAAATGCACACACACACACATAAGTGTCGAAACCATTGCATTCCTTGCTTTATTCAGAATTCTTAGCGTGGTTAATTTTAACAACTTAAAAGATTTTAGAATTTTCTTTTCAGATTAAAATATTTTGGTGCCACGCACTGGCAATAAAACAATGTATCGTATCGACTAACGACTAAAACATGACAGGTAAAATAAAATACATTTACAAATCAATAATTAAAAATATTATTTATGAATCTTTAAATATGACGCGTATAGATCCTAAATTATATACAAAATGTATATAAAATTATTAGAGGTCAAACTTAGTTCATATGATATTGTGATGATATCACATGAGAAACCAAAATATATACACGTTTAAAATATGATAGGAGTTAAAACTACCTGCCAAAAAATAAATGCAAGATAGAAATAAATTAGAACTGAACATCTGTGAAATGTGAATAGGTACTACTATAATTGCAGTCTTCGTATAAACAAATGACACTTAAACATCGAAATATTAATGTATATAATCGCCATGCACGATGCTACTACAAAACAATTAACCTCGATTTACATTTGACAAGACAGATGTTAATTAAAATTTGAAGTAGGTACCTACGTCATTGTATTATGAAATATAATAGGTATTAAAAGAAAATTGTGTTACTATATCCAATAGTTAATTGATTTCATCTTTTCATACTAATTAGACATAAGTAATTACTATGCAAAATTATGTTTATAAAATTGAAAAGTATATAGGTACCTAATATAATTATATAATAGATTTTTATAACACAACAATTAAAAACGAAGGTTTTCAAGTTGGTAACTGCTCTGCTGTAGAATAGGTACCTAATGGATGTGTTAAATTTAAAATACGATGATAAAAAATCATTATAAACAAAAAACGATTGTGAGCGAAGTCGATATGTCAGGCTAAACTACTAAGCATATAAGATGATATTTTTGCTATTAAAGCAATTTTTTTAACATTAGTAATGCAGTTAGGACCTAGGTTAAATTAAATTTGGTCGAATTTTCAATTTTGATCTCTTAAAAGTATGTACCAATTAGATCAAATTTTGCTACCAGTTAAAAATCGACGCATTTTTCCGACAACTTTTTCGTGTACAGAAACACAACAAATAACACACACCATTGTAAATTTAAAACATTCATCGCTCCGTTCAGAAGCTGTAAAAATAAATATCAGTTGAAGCCTGAAGGTGAAACTTTTTAAGTGGTTTCACTAACTAACCAAACAGGAAATTTTCTTTTCAACATGTTTAACCCCAAAGTACAAACTAAATCCAATTTGGTACCTACCAAAAACAAAACTCAATATTAAAGACTGAAGCTTTATTTTCTGCTTTAAAAAGTGTCCTCCGACACAAAAAATAACCCATATCATTGGAAAACTTTAAATTCATTGATCCACTAGGGATCTGAAAATTCAGATATTAATTAAAACTTAAAAATAGAAATTGTTTTCCACATAAAATATATATTATACATTTTTCAGTTGATGTTTTTTTCTTTTAATAACCCTGCAATCTAAATGTACGCACCAGGACTTCCAACTACAGATAAATGAGTGTACATCAATATACCTATACTAAAGTACTTAACTAATAAATTATGAATTTTTTTTTAATGAAAAGTTAAACAACTTCATAAATCATTTTACAAGTATATATTAATGAATGGTAGAAAAATATGAATAAGTGATTACGTAACAAAATAATGATAATGTATTGTTGATTATCACGATTCGGAAAATGTTGCTAATGCTTATATCAATGTTAATAATAATATTGCATAGAATAAAACAAATCATCGAGATGATTAAAATGGTGCAGTTAGAGCCACGTGAACTATTCTCGAATTATTATAATACAATGCCGACAAGGTCATTCGAAACCAATAGAAAAACTTATAGTATTAATAAATAGTAAATTAACACTCGTTAAAAAAAAATATCCAAATGTTATTTTATGCTAAAAAACAAATAATAATATGTGCTCAAATAATATGTATTACAAAAACCGCGCTGTTGTAAGACAAGCAATTGTTTTTGGTTTGGCTTTAACATATTATTCCGAAGATTGTGTTAACGATAATAGTTTTAATTAATTACTTGAGATTGTTTTCTTTGGATTAACTCGAGGGCGTCGTAAACTAAATGCGAATCTTTGGGTGGCGCATCAGTAAAGACGTAAATATACGAATTTGGTCTTATTATTTTTAAAGCCTGTATGATTGCCGTTATACCCATTTCCGGACAATCTCCTCCTCCACGTATCAGTACTTGATTCAGTTTGTGCATGATTACCTTCGGGTCAAATGTTTCCGTCACAGGTCCCACATCTGTTCAAACAAAACCATAACAATACTCGTCCAAGACATACAATATTATCGTGTCCATAAATTATCGGACAATTTGACGCTATTTAGTCATATGAAAAAAAAATACTATATTATCATGTAAAGATGGTCATATTGTACAGTAAATATGAAAAACAAGAATAGTTATTTGAAATTCTGTTATATCACTATATTCCGGTATCATTACTTTAAATGTGCGTAAAAGAAAAGAAACTTTTATAGTGTTTACTTTACGCGCAGAAATAATATTGGTGGTGTTAATGCATCGGAGATGTAATAACATTTTTAATTTAGAAAACAACAAAGAATTTGGTGAATTACATTTCTTGTCGAAAAATTATAACTGAAATGACAAATTTTCTTTTGTAGAGTCTTATAAATTCTGAGAAATAGTATTTTACAAAAAAAAAAAAAATAAAGCCACATTCGTGCTTAAAATAAAAATAATACATTATATACTTTAAAAACCGTATTTTTTAAGATATTTCCAGGTTAACAATAGAAAAATCTCCCCCTCATATATTTTATATGTAATTTCATATAGTAATGTCTAATGTGTAAACATACTATTTTTCTACTAGGGGGTATTTTAAATGTATATCACTATATCACAATATACTAGGGGTCCGCAACAGGCGGCCCTCGGGCCCAATCCGGCCCGCGGAGAGCAAATAACTGGAACGCCAAGAATATATTTTTTAATGCTGGTTTTCTCCACATAATAGATAGGTACCTATATTTTTTATTTATTTTTATTATGTATTTGGATTTTGGCTTCACATATATCGTAATGTATGAAACTTCGTTATCCAAAATGACTTTTTTAAAGAATAAAATAAATTTAATTAATAAAGTTCAAGATTAACTGATCACCTGCACCTTCAAAATACTCTGCGCATTAGTTGTTCTCTAATAGTAGGTAGGTACAACATTTAAAAAAAAAACTGGCTAATATTATATTATATTAAATAATTTGCTTAAATAGCTTAAACTGTTAAGTTTTTTGTGGCCCTCTAAAATTTTTTTTAAATTATTTGGACCGCCACAGAATTTTATTTCCGACCCCTGTAATAGACTAATATACTACATAGGTAATGATATAGTATGTCGACTATACCTGGGTCGTTAAATGGTACAAAAACGAAATGCTTGATATCACTGTTGTTCCTTGTCAGCACGTAATTCATGATGCTCTCCGCGTGCGATTTCAACTGTAAGTAATCATTTTCCATGGAACCAGTCGTATCGAAAACGAAAGCCAAACTGCTGTATATATCTTCCGGATACTGCACAGCAGTGCTGCATTGCACTGCCAAGCAGACGATTGTCAGGGATACTAACCAATTCATCGCTTGAATAAACGTCAAAATTAATAATAATGTAAAGTGTACAATAATATTATATTCTTTGCAATTTAATGATCATTTTTATTTTTTCAATATCAATATTGAATGTTCATAACTGCCTGCACGCTTCAATATTACAATATATATATATTTATATAATAATATATATTGTGCTATAAGAAAAAATGTCGGCTGTGCAATATCAATAATAATAAAAATGTTTAATTTAAAAATATGTCTACGTTTTAATTAGTCGAGTAGTAAAATCGAATTTAATAGAGTAGTAACAGTTACGTTGTACTTATGAGTTTTTTTTTATTCATGACCATACAATTATCTCTAAACAACCATAGTACCTAATGGTATTAATTATTATTAATTAACTTGAAAAAATGTATTTTTTAATTTAAATATGAATAAAAAGTCTGCCTTTTCCTGAAACAAAGTCATAAACTGTATAAAAAATAGATTTCATTCTATTATGTCCAAATAATAAGAACACAAATACTTAAAAATAAATTTATCTTGGACCTTAGCACCTATTCGAGTTAAAATAATTTTAAATATTACATTAGTAAATTTACTTTCTATGAGTAGGTACCCATAGTATTTATAAAAATTAAAAGTACCTACTAATTATAACTTTTTAATGCAAATTTGACTAGTACATCTAATGAATACCTACCACAACAAAACTTGGATAATAATTACATAACTCAATTATATTTTTAAGGGTTCTAATGATTATAATATACTTGTGTTGAAAATTAAAATAGTCGAAAACAAAACGTTGAATATAACAAAAATTTTAAAAAATTTTGAATGAAGTAAAGTTTGTGAATATAATAAATTTAAAATAATTTACTACACCAATAAAAACTAGGTAAAAAATGTCCAAGTAAAAATGCACTCATTGAAAATTTAGGGTACCAATCTAACATCATTATTGTTTGAATGACAAAAATAACAATTTGTATAGAATCTATAAATATATACAAATTAAATATGAACCAGGAACCTACTTAACGATGTTGTAATTATAGTCGTTTTATTATTATATATAATATAATAAGGTTATAACGAGTTATAATTTTCTTTATTAATGTTCAATTATACATAATTTGAGTAAGTACCTACACTAAACTAATATCACATTGTGTTATAAATTATTAAACTACTATTTTATTTAGATAACATCTACTAATTTATTATTACCTATTGCAATATAATTCATTAAAATGTCCATGATACAATTAAAAATAAATTTTATGCTAGGTAAATATATTATAATGAAATAATATATGAAATGTTGATAGTACAAAATATTATTTTTTAAATAAATAACCTAAGGTATTATAATTATTTATAACATCATAATTCACCATCAATTATAGCAATAATATTTTGTTACTTTATTCATAAAATAGTATTAATTGCATAAAACATGATGTAAAGGTAAGAGGAAGAATCAGTATCAACATATTATATTTGTATATACTAAAGAGTTATATTCGACATTGCACTGGTTACTCACTTGTTTGTATAAAAATAATATTTCGAATGACTTGAACACGACGAGTGGTGAACAACGATTGACGAATTATCGGATCACTGGTGGGTTTAATATCGTTCTTCTTTCCGCGCTCTCAATCAAATGTTATACATAGTAAGTCGATAACAAGCTACAGAATGACACTGTGAAATTGTATCATTAATTAAGGTCAGTAAGTCCGCACGATATGTATATAATATTTTTTTTTTTTTTTTTTGGTTTCAGATCAAAGGTCGTGTTTTGTTATAGAGTAGTAGGTAGGTAGGTAATATAAATTACCTTCATATACATAAACATGTACATAGCAATATTACATAATATACTCACTCGGCATAAACGTTTAGATTTCAGCGGTGAGAGTTATATATACGACAGTGCGTATTGGTATATTATAATAATAATAATATATTGACACGTTTCTGAATAAGTTATCTTCTCTTTGGAGACGCGTTTTCGTGATGCATTGATGCTCACGTCATTTGAGCACTATTCGAAAAGTACGAAACATAACTGCGATGACATAATTTAACGTCGACACAGTATATTATAGAGGTACATCGTTATTATGATCAACTCTGCGTATTGTATCAAGTAGTCAAATTGAAATATGAAACCTGTGTATTATATTATGTACCTATGCTGTATATTTACGTATTATAAATTGTACACAATATATTTTATTGTATCTGTATAATATATTGTACCGAATGGCCAATACCACTATGGGCCTACTTTTTAATTTTAAGGTTGATATAACAATATGCATTAAGTTAAGTAATTAAGCACACTAATTTTATGTAATGTAAAGAAAATATAAAAATAATAAATTATGTATGTATATTTTAAATTAAATACCTACGTAGTATTAATAATTCAAATCTATTAAAAAAAAGTAAACAAGAAATATGCTAAAACTTAAGTTTGAATAGCCCCTGGGTTCAGCACTCAAAGTAGTTTTAATAAAAATCGAGTCCCTATAGATATTCATAAACAAAAATGTGAGATTATAGTAAAGAATAATATGGTTAAGAAAAAATTAATTAAATTTGTAAATAAATTATAAAACAATATTTTACTCCGATGTTAACGCAATTAAAGCTCGGGTAAACAAAATATCAAAAAAAAAAAAAAAATGAATAATTAAATTATTACCTAGATATTACGTTCTTTGAACTGTTACATTAAACCGATTATTCGTGTTTATACATTGTATCCAATTTCAAACTTTTAATATAGTTAAGAAGAAAATGAATTCTCAAATTTTGTTGATAGTTCGATCCATACACCTCTTACATTTAGAGGGTTAGGGAGAGCCAATAACGACCAATGGTGTGTGTGAAATTATGTGCAGGCTACACATTTTAAATGTACAATAATAATAACAGAAATAGTTTTATATTTTTTTAGTTTTAAACTCTTTTTTTGCATCATACTTAATTCATAAGTACGCCATCACACAATAAGTATAGAAATACAATGTTTTCATAATAAATTATTGTTTATGTAAAATAACGCTTTAAGACGCCCCCTAATATATGCACTTCCTGTGGGGTTCGTATATCAACAGTTTAACAGCCAATATATGTTCGAGAAATTCCCCACCCTACCCAGGAAAAGGAAAAATTTCCGGGATCACTGGCCCCTGATCTGCATGAACCCCGAATCTATCTCCCCCGCCATAAAACGTGTCCTTGCCGCCAATCAATACTGAATCGAATTAAATAGACGTTTGTCTTAACCGTAATAACTGTATATATGTAGGTACTGTCATTGTATATTTTAACCGGTCATCCATTTTTATGTAATCTAAATTTTTTATGCAAATAAATAATACAATATGTAAATCTACTCCAATGATGGCTACTGTTTCCGAGTGTAAGGCCGCGGGACTGTACACGGCGAATTCCGCTGTCATCGAAAACCTATATGATTAAATCGGGAATAAGGCTATACGAGTTCGCCTCGAATTAATCCGCCTCGATATCGGCAGACGATTTTTTTCAAAACCGCCAAATCCGTATAAAACTGCAAAACAATCTATTTATATTAATACTTTTAATGATAGCGCCTGTACGGTTATTTTGGTTTAGCGAATTTCGCGGCGATTATTACTATAGTTCGGTATTTTAATACAATATTATTGTAAATAGTATTATTGTAAAATCGTAAATATCGTAAACATGATATTATATTATTTCACCGGGTACAAAAATGTATATATATAAGTATACGTATATATGTATAAAATATGTCTTAGTGAGGAAAGACATTTGTAGTTGTCTAAAAAGGGAGGCGTAGCCCTCCTTAAGTCCTTTAAAAAAGAATTAAAGAACAAAGAGTACATAGAGGATTTATTAATATATAATATAGTAGTATACATAATATATATAATATAGTATATATTATATATTATATATAATACGTAATATGTCCATCTATTAAATCTATTACATTTATTTAATTTAAATTATATAGTAATTTTTTGATTTTATTTTTAATAGTTTTTATGAGAGTAGCTTTTTTTACTTTATAAGAAAGTAAAGTTTTAGGTTATATTAAATAACGTAAAGGTAATAATAAGTTTTTTATTAAAGGTATTTTTCAACCTATAGATGATGGTTTAAAGTTATTTTTGAAAGAAGTTAAATAATCTTATAAATATAAATTTTTTTATTTTTATAATTTCTCCTATATTGGGTTTATTAATCCCTATGGTTTTTTGATTTATTTATCCTTATATTGGTATAAATTATATTATGGGTTTTGGTTTAACCAGGGCCTAAAATTGTGTGCAGTAGGCAGTAGCACACACTATGTACAGTAGCTAATATTAAATGTGCAGTAGCACATTTATAAGTGTGCAGTACTTATTTTCTGCTTTTTTAAATTTTTATTCGATTAATATTCAATATTTTAGATTCTAAGTAGAATGATGAATGTATAGATTTTACAATGATTGTGTGTTTTTTTTGTGTGTATACACGATAAGTAGTCGAAATAATGCTTCGATTTTCAACTTCAGTATCTTGTTCGATTAGAAAGTGAATATCGTTGGTGCATTGGGGAGGTCAAAATTTAAAATTCACAGTAATTTTCAAAAGCGCCAAGAAAACAAAAGAAAAATTAAGGAAAACGGGAATATTTACGTAAAATCGATTTTTAACAAAATCGAATTTGGTTTTTGGTGTAACTTTAAAACAAATGGCCGTAGATACATGCAATTTTAACTGGTTGTTTATATTTACATTTTCTAAAATTTTCAAAATATTTTGATTTGTTTTGAACTGTTTAGGGACATTTTCTATTTTTAATTTTATTAGTTTTTCTATGAATGTCAATAAAACTTTATTTGTTGAGTAAAAATACTTAAATTTAATACAAAGCTCCTATTATATTGTTACAACTAAATTTGAAAAATATTAAAAATCCTTAGTCACAGTTTTTTTTCATA